CAGTCTTATATGGTGGAGGGAATGTTCCGTGTCGTGTAGGAGTGGTATTCGTAAACACCGGACCAGCGACCACAGGGTTATTGTATTGTTCTTTTGTTCTTAGTTGTTTCCAATATGACTGTTTTTTGAAGAACAGTTTATCGTTCAAGGCAACTTTTTCGTCCAAGGTAAGGTCATCTCTTTTCCACAGTTTGCGTTGATCTGATTCTATACTATCAATCATTTTGGTTAAAGGTCGAGTCTTATGTTTCTCCTCTTGTAAATACTTGACAATCTCAGATTGGTACTCATCATCATTGTTGTCCTCGGGAAATATGTCAATACGTAGACGACAGTCATCTGGAGTGTCTTGTTTTAGATCTATGAAGAGGTAGACTGCTTAAAAGCTCGGAGGAATTCCTTAACCTCACAACCTTACAATTTCCCTTTTTGCATATGTGCAATCAATTTTTTTTGGCCATCTTGAACATCTTGATTGTGAATCTGATTTTACAGAACTACGCTTGCTTTGTTTCGTTGCTTCTTCTCTCAACGACTGATCTGTATTAGCTAGCCAACTTCTAACACTGTTGACAAAGTCATTGAATATGGACTCACGTTCTAGGTATTTCGTTTTTTCACGTTCTATTAGTTCATCAGACGTAAGGGTATGTAAATAGTTCAAATAAGATGTTTTGTATTCTTGAAAATTGTCCACATACTCTGTCAGCTGTAATCGCACTTGTTCTGAATTTTCAGCACTGTCCATAAGTAGCTTTATACTGTTCCTTTTGCGTGTGACTTGCGACATTGCTTTTGACTTCTTTAATTTGAGATCATCAAGAGAAATATCTTCTGTGCACGTATTCGCCAATGATTAAGAGCAAAATTTTGGACTTTGTTACTGCAAAACAAACGCTGTTTTGTAGATATGATGATCAAAGTTTATTATAGTGAATGTGGAGCGCTTTGGTTACTCGTCCATGAACGGTGTAGCTTACACATACGGTCCAAAACTACAAAAAATATAAATAAATAAACAATATTAAATAAATGAATTGTGAATACAGTATATAATTAAGTAGAATGTAACAAATAATTGATGGAGTAATGCTTACTTTTTACGCCCCTTCTTATGTACATGTAGTTCATAACGTGTCCACCTTTGCCGTTCAATCGTTCATAGCATTGTTCAATATATATATACATGTAGTTCATAACGTGTCCACCTTTGCCGTTCAATCGTTCATAGCATTGTTCAATATATATATATATATATATATATATATATATATATATATATATATATATATATATATATATATATATATATATAAGCCCCACAAGCCTTAGTAAGACTTACTAAGACTAAAAAATTACATTGGTGGCTAAAAAGAAACAGCTTACTAAGAATTGCATTTAAAAAGTGTACTGTGCCGTAAAGTTCGGTCCGACAATAGATATAATGTCAACAAACAGAGCTGTAACCGAGTCGGTGGCTAAAAATAGCAGCTTACTAAGAAGCCCCACTCTTACTAAGAAGCCCCACCTTTTGTCACCATTAAAAGTATATGGTCTTGGTGAAAATTGCAGGTCGAAATCAACATACTTTTACTACTTTTGCCCTTCTTCGTTTTTTTTTTTTGGGCTTTTACTTTTGAGTCTGCAGTCGTAGCAAATTCACTTTTTAAACTTTTATACAGTAAGTAATTTAGTTGAATCTCATTTTTTATTAAAAATGTTACTTCTTTGGAAATTGTCGCCTTCTGTTTCCAGTGCGTTGACACTCGTCTTTTCACCCAGCCACCCACCCTTAATTTTGGATCTTCCTCTCATAGTAATGGGACGGATTTTCTTTCAGTTTTTTAGAGGAAATATTAAAACAATATCAATTAGCTGGTAAAATTAGTAATTATATCATAGCAGTCGGGAGCTGGTGGTAAAGTCAACATCTTTTTACAGCTAATACAGAATGAAGAAAACTGAATTGCTAATATTTTCATCTTTTATTTTTTACGATCGTCAGTGCAGAACTATTATTGCCTCTGCAGCAGCCAGTTGAAAACCTTCAAAATGTCATTCTCTTAATCTTACAATAAAACATTAGTTTTTGTAACCAAATGAGTTTTGTTTTTCTTTCTTTTTAATTGAGGTTGCCATTGGTGTGTGTGTGTGTGTGTGTGTGGGGGGGGGGGGTAATAACGGTTCATCGGAAATAAAATCATTAATTTACAAATCACAGTAAATCAAACTTGAATCATATCTCATTGATAATGCAAATCGAAAACCCTGATAATCACGAATCACCGAGTATAATACTTCGTTTCACAAAGGGCAAAGAATAAAAAAGCACATTCACGAGTCACGGGAATGGAGTACTTCACAGATCATACTAAATAATATGAACATTTCACGCATCTCGGGGAAATAAAAAGTGGCTTACACAGGTAACAAATTCGAAAATACGTGTACGTATACCCCATGGGACACATTATGTGAAAAAGTTTGAAAAAGCATAATAATAATAATAATAATAATAATAATAATAATAACAGCGATTCTTATTTAAAGGCATTTATGACGTCAGGCAAGGAGCCAGCACTTGACTTTTATTTACAATAAATGAAGCACTTAAATAATTACTTTATTCCAATACATCAATATTTGACTTCTGATTTACGTTTAAATTTTTCAAGTAAATTCCTTCTCTAAATTTATTTTTATTACACTTTCACGTTTAATAATTAATCTTAAAAGAAATAAACTATACATGGTACAAACATAAAACGCCCTAAGCTGGACTATTAGGAAATGACCAAACAAAATCCATTGAACGGCCCTATATTGTTAGAGCTCTCAGTAATTTATTGGTAGACATATTGTCCACAGATTCCATAAGCTTAAAATGTCTTTCCTGGAAAGTAGATGATGTAAAGAACAGTAGGCCTACATTTTTCAAGACAGAACTGTCTCATGTTTCCCAAGTGTGTCGGGTATCTAATCTGTGAAGCAGGTGACCACTGTACCTCTAAACCACAGAGACGTACACTTAAATTTCTCCGAAGGTTCATTGGTCCAAATGTTAACTATAAAACCACTGGACCAATGAACCCTTGATTTAAAAAAACTGATGAAAATGCTTCCATTTTTCAGACCAATGAAGTATAGGAATATCGAGACGCCCCCTTCCCCATATGAATTATACAAGTTGGCAGTTCTGTCGTCCTTTTGCCATAAACAGTATCTCCTGCATAGTTTCAGACATCTTTAGGCCAAACTCTAGGGAATGTTCTCTATAAATTTTCTCCACCAATCTCATGTGCATTTACTCCATGCTGAATGCAGTCAAATTACCAGACCAACATGTCTCTTCCTGGTGATAAGTAGAATATAACAAAGCTAGTGATTATATGAGTATGTCGGAAACAAGTGGAGGTGCGTCAGTCTGTTAAACTGATAACATTTGTCAGGGGCAGATACAGAGCTACTGTATTTACTGACAGTCTTCTAAATTATCTTTGTTGATTCATCCTCCAATTTTGACTGTCTTCCAACTGAAAAAATTACATACCACTCAATGTAAACATGAAAATCTGACCATCTTCCAGAAGACCCAGAAGACGGCCTAAATCCAACCCTGTTTGTAATAAAACAGATAGGCTACGTACCTGTGGTCTTAGTGCACATTAGCTTGAAGTTGGTGGACAAAATTTACTGCTAACGGTCCCTTACTCTCTTTAACAGAGCTGTGTAAGCAAATGAACATCTTTTCCACGTCTGTCTTTAAACCTGAAGTTATAAGCAGTGCTAGTTATTAATATTAGGACTAAATTAATTGAAATCCCTTTTTCCAGGTTGCAGAACAAAGACATTACGAGACCGTCTCAGGACTAGTTTGTGATGCCTGCCAGCCAGGGACACATCTACTAGCTGACTGCACCGAGACCACGCCCACACGTTGTGAGGCGTGTGTTCCACAACTGACTTTTTCCACGCAGTATAATGCAGCGCCTTACTGTCAGCCCTGCAGTATTGGGTGTCATGGCTATGCAGAGGAGCAGGTCGCGAATTGTACAGTAACAAGTGACAGGGTGTGTGGCTGTAAGGAGGGGTATTATAGATGGCAGCACTGGGGTAACTGCCAGAGGCACACCCCTTGTCGTCTAGGATTTGGTGTCAAACAGCTAGGTATGCATAAAGGTTTCATATTTGCCTATAGATATATTTGAGTATCTTGGCCAGTTCTTAGTACATTGGAACACCATGTAGGAATATGGTTTTCACATTTCAGTGGAATATGTTGATGTATGGTTTGGCTACCAAGGTAAATCTGGTCGTAAATGTAAAAAAAAAACTTTAAGTTATATTTTGTGAAATACATGAGGTTCCAAACCTCTGATTTCTGAATAATTCGTTAGGTCATTTTTATTTTCATGGCATCACTCATAACCTTCAACTGCAAACTTTTCTTGTTCCTTATTTCCTAAAGAAGCAGAAATGTGTATGAAGAAAAAAAACTTTTTTATCATATTCAGAGTTTAACTCAATTTCAGGCAGTAGAGAGAATAACACTCAGTGTGAGAAATGTCGCCATGGTTACTACTCGGATCACGTGTCTCTTACTCAGAAGTGCAGGAAGCACACAGACTGCTCTGCCCTGGGCCTGGTTGAAATGAGGGCAGGGAGTAGATTTTCTGATGTTCAGTGTGGCCCTTGTCCCACTGATGGCAACATCACTGATCACACAGGTAACTAGAGGGCAGTTGTCAATAATAACCAAAAAGCAGGTCAATTGTCAATAGCAACCAAAAGCAAGGAGCAGGGCTGTTGCCAATAACAACCAAAAGCAAGTTAACAGCAATGGCAAACCCTAATCAAAAGCTTACTTACTTATTTGAACAAACTACAAAGATTCCTTGTTAATATTTTACATATCCTAAAAATACTTCAAGAATTTACCATTGATTACTGTCCCCATATTTTTCAGCTGCTACCTCTGGTGTGACAGTTGACCCTGGTGTTGAGGGGCAGACAACAACCTTTGGCTTTGACCTAGGCACTGTTAGAAACAATATTACCAACTTTACCATTGACAGTGTTCTTGAAAGTCCAGGTTTGTATTAACATGACACATGGTTGGATATACCTCCAATAAAAGAATATCAAAAAGACCGCTTCTTTGATATTTGGTGTCATTAAGAATTGCCTTGTTTGTAGTAACTTGATTTTTGTGCTTTTTTTTGTGAAATTCTTTGTTTATTAACTTTGGTGTAAACAGTTAATTCTAAGATATGACTTCATTGTCAGTAATGTTGTTGGAAATTTTGGGAAACATTGCCATTGTTGTCTTTTAATTGCATGGATATTATATGCTTTTATCACAGTTATATATTGTAATGTATTGAATGTTTTCCTTTGGTCATAATTTAGCTGCACAAATCAGTTGTTATGGTAGGTGCATGAAAAGATAGAAGGTTTCATGTATAACTGCATTCAGACTAGGTCTATTTTGGCCTGAGAATGTCCTAAAATGCATCACCAAATAACTTTTGAGTTAATAAAAATATTTAAATATACCTCAATGTTTAGATGATGTAATAACCATGTCAGATGGCACACTAGGACTGGGTTCCCATGCCTAGATCAATCTAACAGGATCGATCCACTTCCAAGGGGTTTCTCATTTAATTGCTTGCAGCTTAAGTGACTCACATGTCTGGCACGCCTACTGAAGCTGTTAAATGATAGTTAATTACCCCCAAGTAGAGTCAGTAGGCATGACAGACATTTGATCCTAATAAGTTGATAGCAATTTAGCAAGAATTTTCTTGGAGACAGATCGATCGACAGTTAGTACAATAGGGTCTGGGAATAGTCCCTCAGGGATCTAACATAGACCTGGTCTTAACTAGTGCGCATTAATGTGATGTATTGGATGTTTACTTTTGTCTTTATGTGCTATGTTTGTTGTTTATTTCTGTAGAATCCCTGCATGGTGCATTGGGTGGTGTTGGTATTGGTGCTGGTTTAGTTATCATAGGTCTTCTTTTTGCCGCCTACTGTTGGTGTAGAAAGAATAAAACTGATGGCAAAGAAAGGTAGTGGTTTTTATGTTTGGGGTCACAGGAGATTGCTGTGTTCATTGCCCACTGGATTAAGGCNGGTGCATTTGTCAAAAAAAAAAAAAATATATGAATAATTGTATTTCAGTGACAGAAGAATCACTGTTATTTGAAACTTTATAATTTTCATGCTGCTCCCAAAATTACTAGCAAAAGCTTCAGTCTGTAACTTGTAGAGAAAGTACCAAATTTTCCCATAGTGTTGTCTAGAAAAAGTACCTACCTGCCTGTAGCATGATTGTGATGTGTAGTTATGGGTGAAATAAGCATTATTTAGTAACTTTTTATTTGACTGTGGAAATACTGCACATTTTAATGCAAATCTACAGCAATTTAATCTGCTTCTTTTAATTGTGCGTACGACACTTCACTTTGTATAATTTGCTTCACCTCATGTTATGACGCCATATTGCAGGTTCCCACAGAGCAGCGAGGAGAAACACCCTCCCTGCAGTGAAGATTCTGGAGATCAAGAACCAGCTGAAGTCCACCATAGAAAACGGACAAATGGTGACAAAAAGAAGGAAAAGCCCAAATTGCGATTTCAATTGCCAAACGAGATGGACCCAGTGTTGAATAATAACAACAATGGTGAAGTGTCCATCACCATACCTCCCACACCTCCCCCACAAACCAAGAGTGAGGTACTTCATGGACAGGAGAGGGGCACCTTGCGCAAAAGATCATCTAACACAAGCTTGGAAGAAATAAAAGGTAAAACAACAACTGATGAAGTATTAAGTTTGTTAAAAGTTGAATTATGTTGTTTTTATGTTGGAACTTGTGATTTGAAAAATCAGTAAAAAATTTATGTTTTGTGATGAATTGGTTTAGGTTACTCAAAATATTTTGCAGTAAAACAGTAAAAGAATGTTCTCTGTAATAAATTGAATGAATATTTATTTATGATTTTGTTAAATTCAGGAAACTTAATGAGAGATGTATTTGCACATCTTTCAAGAAATCTAGGACACAAGTGGAAGATGTTCATGAGAAAGCTGAAGAGTAAGCGATTCCTTCACATCACAGCTAAAACTCTGTAGAAAATTTGCTTTGCATGAATTGCAGAACTAAATAACATGAACTTCTAGTAATGAATTGATTTCTACTATGTTCAAAAATTGACATTTCATTGTTTTTCTGTTAGCCTTCTGCTTTAGGTTTATGATGTTACTCTTCTTTTTCATCCGGGCAGGCATTGTAATTGTACATGAATATCAGTCTTATAAATAGTAATTACTCAATAATCAAGCACCTCACTTGCACTAGGTATTAGTTTAATTTTATTTTTACATTGAATATTTAAAGAAAAAAAAACATTCTGCCTGGAAACCAACTCACTTCTGCATTTTTTTTTTACTTCTGAAAAATTAAATATTCAAATTTAGCTTTGAAAATTACATTAAATGTTTTGAGAAAGACTTGTAATCTCTCTCAATTATTCTTAAATAAGTGAAAATGACTATATTTTGTTTCCTGGCAGATGGTTTGAGTGATGCAGATCTGGAAGTGTTAGAGGCAGACATTCCCAATAACATGGTGGAGAGAGCATACCAGGCAATGGTGAAGTGGTTTCGCCGTAACCCATTTGAGGATCTATCCACCCTGGTGACGGCTCTGGAAGACCCAGTGGTCGGCAAGACTGACCTGGCCGACTATATCAGGGACAAGTACAGGACATCTGGCTTCTTGTCCATAGAGGCTGATGCTCTCCCAGTTTGTCAGCCACAGCCATCTTAGTTAATTTTTGGGAAATTGGTTAAAGTTTTGTAAGAGCTAGGTTCCTGTAAGTTTTTTTTTTTTGTGGGGGGGGGGGATAAATGATTATTTATTGAGTCATAGTACAATACACCTTAGATTGTTTATTTGAATGGGCAAGTAAGCTTTAGGTATTTAAGAAAAAATTATAAATGGGATCAAATTTAGCATTTTGGAATATATCATTCCAATAATTTGCTTAATATATGACTTTGATTAGCTCTTGTTGACAGAATACAACGTACATTATTAGAAATGAGGATATATTTAGTATATGAATTCCTGTCAGTAAATGTTGACTGTTTATTAGTAGAACTTGTTGGTAGGTAATAAGAATAAAGGCATTTAAATAAATTATCAGTCAATTTACAACATTGTGGAAATATCGAGTACGAACAATGTGCAAAATTTCCTCTCATATTATTACATTATCCTGGCTTTAATATGAACAGTATGGTGAGGAGCATTTTAAGATGTATACCTTCTTGTAATTGTGTTCAGTTTGCCAAGTATATTAGTCTCTGGAATTATACACAAATTACATTAAATTATAGCTGCAGTTCTATAAGAACAAGGATGTAAAGCAAGTGTAAATATTGGAGATATTATTGATAATGCAATATTATTTTTCCTTTTGCTTTTTGTGTTAAATTAAAACAAAAGTTAACATGTTGAATTGGTGCAATTGCAAAACACATTGATATTTTGGCATTTGTTCGTAACAGAGTATGTTAGTGTTTCATTGTTGTATCAGGTAGTTAAGGCAATTTTGTTGCAATATTACATTTATTCATTAAGACAGCAATCCAGAGAAGAATAACTGGAACCTTTTTCTATAGAAAATTAACAAATAAACATATCAACATCTTAGATGGAATATCTGGTAAACATATCAAGCTTAAGCGGGCTTAGGAAGCCTGATATTAAATATTTGGGATTAAAAACAAATACAGTAAAAATATACGTTATGTTGCATCAGCACACCTTTATATATCATAATAGTATCGGGGGTGGGGGGGAGCCTGATCTCGGGTATGACAAAGCATGTGCTTTTTTAATGTGTATCCACTACTGTCAAATATAAGATTGTGTTACAGGTTTGAATGTGAATTGTGTTATGAGTGAAGGTTATGTATAAGTGATATTGGGTTATTAATGTTCTGCTTGGGTTTAGGCAATTGACAAAGAAGTTTTTTTCCAATGTATTTTGTTGTTCACACATGGCCATTTGGTGCATCATATTTGTGTCAGTTGTGTTAATCTCATATTTGTGTAAGTCTTGCTATTTTGGCCAGTTTTATTTATTTAGCTGTTAAGCACAGATTCATGTTTATAAAAAATTATATGACTGTATTAAAAGAAATTGCATGTGTTTAATAACATTTGAAATTATGTTATGTTGTCTAAAATTCAAGAGAAATAAACTGTTCACATATCAGTTCTTTTTTCTTGAGTAACTAGAAGTACTACTAAGTTCACCCTTAAAATATGCTTACATTCACAGAAATGTCACTCCAGCTTCCTAAATAAACTTGCTTATATGCTTTGTTTTGGGAGTTGTAGACACGAAGGTTCTAATAGTAAGCCTGTTAACACGGGTTAACCTGTGTGCTAGCGAATGTCCATTAGACACATTTTAGGAAATGCATTGGAAGTTGATAGAGAACCAGACCTTGGGTTCCAGTTTGGTCTATTAACATACTATTAACAATCTAAGGTCCCATTCAGAATAGGGGACCAGCTAGTACGAGGGTCAAATACGACCGACCCACTTGAATACTTCCCCACGGGATGTGTGTTCACTGACTATTAGCTGATTAGATAACAAGCTTTGTGGTGGGTCACCATATTTGATCCCTGGACTGGTTTGTTCCCTATTCTGAATGGGACCTATGGCATAAGTATATTAACATACACTTATGCTATAGATTGTTTTCATACTGTATTTTAATGAAAATTTGATAACAGTGATATCTTTGAGGTTCTAGGGTCTTTGAGAGATGCTGTAACTGTAAGAGGAAAGCTATCCCCACTGTAAGAGGTGAAAGTGTAATCTTGTCCAGGACACAATAATTTTAAATTGCATTAGAGGAGAGGGAAAAGCATAGAATGCGTTAGTTGAGAGAATGTTATTAAATAACATGCAGCACAACAAATGCAATAGTCATTTTCACATTTGCTTCAATTTGCCTCAAGGAATCGTGATAAATTACTACATATGTGGTGGTGAGAATGATGGCACGCATTCATGTACATTTAAGGAATTCAATTAAGTTATTTCATTTATTTCTGCAACAATTCTGAAATAAAACTATTGCCACTGAAGTGGAAAACTGTTTTTTCATTGGAGCGCAATTATTTTTTCTTTGTATTATGCAGCTGCTTTAATGTGAAAAAAAAACTGGATTTAAAACTTCCAAAATATCCTTGCTCTTTGTAAATAGTATTGTATTTTCTGTAATCTGACATGTCTCGTAGCTCTATAATTTAAAGTACATATTTTATTTTTTATTGTTGTTCTGAATCGGGTTATTTTCATTGTGGCACTGGTATGATGTTAGGTAATATTACTATCATTTGTAAGAATTTAAATCACAAATCAGAATAGACGTTTTTAAATGCTAATTTCTCTTTAAATTGTAAAGAATTTTAATTGAACATCCAGCTCATTGCAAACCAATTTATAAAAATACTATAAATGTTAACAATTGTTTGAAGAGCACACAATGTGCGTTCACTTAAACATATTTTATTTCTCAACATTCCTGTGGTGCACTCTCTCAATTAGATGATGAATCATTCTTTCCGCACTACCCAATGCGTTTTGCATGTTCCTTCGATTGAGAAACGACCGACCAGGTGCGTCTTGTGCGCCCTCTCTCGGCACCATAGCGACATTCTCGTGAGGCATTGCGAGAAGTCCACTTTGGTTGAGGGGATGGCGGTAGATTGTAGAAGGTGTCGGAAGGAGAAACCAAGTGCAAGGACTTCTACGATCGTAAGAACTATGAAACTTTACAAGCAACCTGTTCTTGTGATATCCCTTATATGTGCTTTATGGCTACACTCAGCAGAAGCTCAGGAACCGGCACGGCGAAGTAGCTGCTACACCGATGTGGGTCGCCCTCAGCGCTGTGTTCCTGAGTTCGTGAACGCTGCCTACGGACGGAAAGTCGTCGCCACCAACACTTGCGGACTCCCCGGTCCGACGGAATTCTGTGTACAGACTCTGGTCGCTGGTAATAAAAGATACTGCGAAGTATGCGACGCTAGAGACACGAGCAAGCGACACCCTCCTGAATATTTGACGGATTTTAACAACAACGATAACATGACTTGGTGGCAATCAGAAACCATGAATGAAGGAATTCAGTATCCTAACAGCGTCAACCTCACACTTCATCTTGGTAAGTCAATAATATTTTATAAACTGAGCTCAGTGTTTTACTATAGCTTTGATGCATGGTGTACTTCTGTTTATTGTTAAATATATTCCAGAAAGTTGAGACAGAAAGTAAAACAAAAGAAAAATTACGTAAGTGAATATCAGGGAACCTTTAATTAAAACATACATACTAGTATATTCATTCATGAAAATGAAAAAGAAGGAGTCCACTGAGGTTAAATTCTGTTGCATGTGTTCTTATATAACAATACCCACCCTGAAGTAAAGTGGAGGAGATCAACCTAATGTATCCCAGTGTTGACTATGTCTTGCTTGGAGAGGTTTGTTGACACTAAATTGTTTTTACACAGAAAATCACACCGAAAGTGGAAATCACATTGCTTGCATAAATAAGAGAAATGCAACCAGCATGGCACTAGCATAGACATCAAGATTTTTTGTTTTTAGCTTTTAAATTTATCTGAAATTCAACCCTATTGAACAGTGAGATTCAAGTGTAAGACTTTTTCAAAAAAAATGTTTTCAATAATCATGAAATACTTTTAGTCAAAATTTCCAGCCAAGATGTCAAGCAGTAATAATAAGCTTTGAGTTGTGCAGTCACATGTTTGCATTCTGTTTACATGTTAGATCTGAGTTAGAAAGCTTCAACTGTGAAAGTTAGCACTATATACCATTTAAAAATCCATTCTCTCTGGCTTCCCCCCACAGCTGTTCTCTGTGTTTCTTTGTCTGGGGCCGAGAGGGAGGTTCCCACAAGTTCCTGGCTTCAAGTGGCTAGAAATATTTTCACAGCTTGTTAGATCCAGTACATTTTTCCGCAGCCCATATTTTATGCACATTTCAGTCAGATCTAATGGTCCCCATGTGGATGGGGTTATAAGCAGCTCCTTTCATTCCTCCATGGAGGCCACAGAAGATGCCTCATGTGGACAGGTTTTCATGTCCGGTGCAGTCGGAGATTGTGGCCTGTCTTATGGCATTTGAGACGTAAATGTGATTACTGGTAATCTTTTGATATGTGGGGAGGGTTAGAAAACAATGTGGTTCTAATAACACCACAGACTTGTGTTTAAATTATTTCATGTACAAAGATCCATCTTGGCTTAAAATACAAACAGACAATGGTATTGTTGTAAGATGTGATGTTGCTGGATTAAGCTTTATGTTCTTCTCCAGTGTGGCTAGTTTAAATTGCTGTGGTCCCCAAACAAGAGAAGTCATTGGTGAAGGAAGCCACAGTACTAGTTTGCACCCAAGTCTGTGTTAAAAATAAATCTCACATTGTAGCTGTGTTCTACATTTACATAACTTTTTGTCACATTATATCTTTCTTGATATTCCATAGCTCTCAGCTGCTTCCACTATCAAGACTTGACATTGGCACATATTTTCTGTGGCATTCCGTCCTATTTTGAAATAAATTTGAAAGACTCCACTTGAAACTTTTTCTACTGTGGGAGTGACAGCATTTTCCTCCTTCTCTTTAGGCAAAGATCTATCTGGTTATTGCTAATTAAGAGGAAATGCTTGTAGATGGATATCAAGGTCACAGAATAATGTGAAAGTACATGCAATATGCTGGAATAAATGATAAATGGTAATTGCCATAGTAGAATGAGCATTATTATAGAGCACGGAGCTGGCTATATTATTTCTGTACAGAACTTATTTCATTCATACAGCTTCAGAAGGAATTCTTTGCCTTAAGGCCTGTTAGTAAATAAATCACCCTCGTGGATCAATTTTCAGTGTTTAGAGTTGATGATAACTCAGAATCTATAGAAAGATGGAAATTAACCTGAAAATTCAGAATTGCTTTGCTGCAGGGATGTTTATAAACAGCCTGAACACAGGGCTGAGCTATGTTTTAATTCAAAACTTCTCAGGTATGAACTTCATGCCCAGACAGACACTTGTAGTGTGTAAGCTGCCACCCTTTTCTTAATCACACTATTTTTTGTGTTTAAAACCTCCTCGCTCATAGATACTTTATGCAGCGACCCTTTCTCCCATGAAGCGTGTATGTATATCTCATTCATGTCGCAGTGTTTGTGGTCGGTACATTGTGATTTGGTACACTACTGGTATTGTGGACAGGAAAACTTGGTATTGTATGCTCAGCAAACATGTAGTGTTAACCAAGCAGTCTCCGTCTATACCACAATACCATCTTGAACTTGATCTGGTGGAAAATAGAGGTACTTAACCTGGTAGTTTGAACACAGGGGAATAGACCGGACAAATTGATAAATACGCGGTGGGTAAATACTCGTATAAAGAATAAACGTATAACACCCAGCCACCATTTCCTGGGTGCTCTCGAGATAAGTGCTGGGGCAGGGTCCCTTCCACACACATCTCCCGGTTGATGTCCAACTAGCCAGCAGGAAGTGTATTGTTGTGTTAACAATGGGCAGTGAGGTGACCACTGTACTTAATTACAGGCAGATGTGGCCAGGTAGATGACCAGTGGTCACTCCACCTCTATCACCGGGTGGAAATCACAGATTAGACAAGAATGTCCCTCCTGTGATAAGGGGGATCAAGTTAAGTAATTAATAAGTAGCTAACTGGCTTCTGAATTCATTGCCCCTGAGGACCCATTATCCTGAACTCCTGTGATAATAATTAAGGAGGGGGGAGGGGGGCATCTGGCAATCTCGGTCACTGTGCTTGAATGCAGGTGTATTGGAGGTGATAAATATCTTCATATTTAAAAGAATAAACACTTTTGATATGGACATGAGAAAGAAATTAAGTTAGCCATATAGAAAATTTGCACATTTTTTTCTTTTATTAATTTTTTTAATTGAAAAGATGCAGAAAGCCACAAAATGTTGCTTTTAAAATAATTACCAGTCAGTGACTTAAGCAGGAAAGAGTTGTGAATACTGATCTGACTTCTAGTCAAGTAGTCACCTGAGTGGCCCATTTTGTTTGATTGCAGTTTAGTGTAGACTTAAGCTAATCATTCTTGCATAAGATCTTAATCCTCAAACCATATCCATCTCATTATTCAACAGAACCCTTGTTCAT